AAGAGGGAGTGAGAAAAATCTTAAGCAGGCTCCCAGTGTGGAGCCCAACTTGGGGCTTGATCCCAAGGACCGTGAGATCGTGACATGAGTCACAATCAAGAGTCAGATGCTTAACTGACTGAGCCACCCAGGTGTCCCCAATTATTGTCTTTTAAATGATTCCCCCAGTCCCCATCCCCAGATGAAGTATCCTGCCACCCAGCAAGCCACTTCTCCTTCTCTCCCTCAACGTGGCCCCTTTAGTGGTAAGCCCTTGCCTCGATGTGACCCAGCCCGTGCGACTCACACTCCATCATCTCATTCTTCAGCGATGCTTTTAGGAGATGTTTTTGACCTTCGTGCTTTTTTCTTCTACATCTTCACATCCCTCTTTTCTCCAAAGTTAAAACGTACATAGGTGAGTGCAGGATGGAAATACATACCCCAAGGCTCTCCAAAGGCATCCACTGTATCTTTTGCACCTCATCTGAGGCAGGGGTCAGAGGACTTACAAACAAGTTCTTACCTGGTTGGGACTGTCAGATGAACATAGTTTTAAGATAGAGCGAAAACACACTTTCTACTTGGCAAAACGATGTTTTTGTATTTTAGACTCATTTGGAAGTCAGTTTTAGATATTTGCCCTTTTAAGAACACATTATCTTAGCTATTAAATGAAAAAAAAAAAAGACGGGTACTCAGTCCCTACTGTAATCAGAATTACCTCCAACAGTGGCAAAATGGAAAACAAAGCACACCCTCCAACTCACTTAAAGTATATTAACAGCTCAGTGGTAGCATCTTGGATTTAAAGCAATGGCATCCATCTTCCAGAAGACAAGTGACTGGAAAAGAGGAGACTTTATAGACTTTCTCTCTGAAGAAGCTGGTCAGGGGTCAAGAATGACCAAATACTGTGCAATAAGACATAACTAATTTATGTTATCAAAGCTATAAATGTATATCACTTTTCTTATCTAAAATTTCTAAAGTGCTTATACACATCTTGTCTGACTTCTTTCTCATTTTGATTTACGACTGGGGTTTCAAAGCCTGGAATTTAAAGAACTTGGCTAAAACCATTATTGAACTTCTGAAATTCAGCTCGGAACAAACACCCCCAAATGAAAACCTCTTCTGTACGAAGTGCTTAAGCAAAACAAGTGAGGATTTCCATGGAAACAGCCTGGAACTCTTGAAGGAGAAGAGAGGACAAAAGTAAGCATGAAAATGCATTTATTTATTTTTTGGTTCGTCTTCACCTCTGCCCCTCCAAACCTCAGGCTGTCATCTTAATGAACGCTTTCAAGCCTCAGAGGGAATTAAGAAGAACAATATTTGACAGGAGTGAGGAAGGAGCTAAATATAACTCCCCTGTGAGAGAAATGTATTCCAGAACCTTCTCTTCTCCCCTTCCTTCCCTATCTGGGCAATCTTGCCATCTTTCAGTGCTATTTTTGCACCGTTCCTCTCGCACAACAATTTTAGCTGTTACTTGGTGGGGACCGCATAAAGATCACATCATGAGATACGATTATGTCCTCCGTTGGAAGGGTCATTCAATACGAGACGACGGAGGATCAATTTCCAAATTAATATTGCATATATTCCCTCAGTATAATTTCCATTTGCCTAATACTTAAGCATTTTTAGAATGCTCTCATGTAATTAATTCATTTAATCAACAATGTGAGAGGTAGATAGAGCCACTGTGTTGGACACGATCAACTCCCATCTTACCAGGATAAAGTACTTCAAGGTCACCCTGCTGGTAGGTACAGGAACCAGGACTCAGCTGGCTCTTTGCTTCTCGGACCCTCTACATATACAACTGGCCTGCCTGACCACCGTGTATATTATTAGGCCATGGCTACCCTCCCTTCTTAATGAGATAAGAACTTTTAGTTATAGAAAATATAGCATAGTGTTAGAAAGTAAAAATCTCTGCCTCTTTGCAATTGCTAATATTGGTATTAGTATAGATCAGAAATACCCCCAAGAAAGGTGCAGCCAAGGGCAGGAGGACTTTCGGCTTTGACAAGGTTTTCCCAGGACTGTCTGACCTATTCTTTGCTGATAAATCAAGTAATGTTTCATTCTAGAATTCAGCAATCAATATGTGGCCTATTGAGGACAAAAGTGACCTTTCGTAAATCTGAAAAATTAAATGTAGAACATGTCTTTTGGAGTGGAATAATTTGATGCATCAACTGAATTAAGTAGCTCAGAAATTATCTTGCTGATCCAAGATAATACCTTGAAGGTGCATAATAGTCCTGCCTGGGGATAAGTTGGTCTCTAGTTTTCTTTGGAAAATTAGAGGCAATTAACATTTGAGATTGTGATGGCTCTAAATAGGAAATTGGTGACAGTAAAGCAGAAAGCATGATAGAGTCTGTTATCACAACTTTCTGCTGCTCATAATTTTCGCAAAGGAATGGAGTTCAATAAAAGACATTATATCACACATTTGGTAAATCCTAAGACCAAGGGACCAACCAACAATCCATTCTATAATTAACATAACATACACACTTTAAGACAATCAATATGCCAGTCAAATGAATTTTGCCATCAAAATGAATTTGATGTTCTAATACACACATTATCAGAGACTGCCACATCTATGGGCACAAAAATTGAAAAATGGAAACATTTCAAAAGGTGACTTCCTTTTAGGTTAGCTTTTACTGTAGGGTATTACAACAACTACTACCAGTGATCATTTATCAAGACCTTACTGTGTGAGACCAGTATTATTGTCCCAATATTATAGAAATCAATGAAAACCTCACCCCAAAAGTGGATTACAAAAAGCAACCTACTCCATTCATATTGCTGGAAAGCGGTAGACTCTAATACCAAACCTCAGTTTACCCAACTCCAGCTTTGGATGGACTGGACCCCTCTGCACACACTCTGTTGAGTGACCTTTAGTTAAGCAATTTTCAGTGCCATGAATTGCCCTTTAGGGTTCACTGTGGGGGGAGGACCTAGATCATTTGCTGAATATAAGAAAGATGGTGGGTTAATAAAATCTACTTAAAAGGTATAAAAACAGGGCATCTGGGAAGCTCTCTGCTCACCGAAAATGTTACATGTAATTAATGTGAGTTAGAAGGAGCAGTTGTCTTACCTTTATGACAAAATTAGAAACAATCGATGCAACAGAAGTTTTTAAAAATTATATTTAATACAAGTGAATAGATTAGAAGATCTGAAATGTTATAAAGCAATATACACAATGAATAAATAATCTGCACAGGAGAGTCATGTCTACATTACATAACACTGTCTAGTATGGGAATACTTAAAAGTAAATCCAGTGATAATGGAGAAAGTCCATAAAAATGCTAACCTGTCTTCCCTTGTATGAAATTGTTCAAGTATAAAAATCCAATACAGTGTAAAATAGTATTCAATTTAGTTTAAGAATAAAAATTGCAAATATTGCAGTTTTGGAAGAAAAAAGTAAAGCAGCATTTTAAAACTACATAAACTACATAAGAATAGTGTTAAACTAATGAAGTACCAATAAATGAGATCTACACGAGCAAAACTTAGAGAAGGAAGCATGAAGCTAGCAATATCTCTCTTTAAAAAAAAAACCTAAAAACTAAAATAAATTAAAATGTGTTAATGTAAGAGGATTCTCTTATACAGTGCACATATGAATTTAAATAAATCCAAGTCAACATCTTTCATTGGATAGGTTAATATTTAATATGCTACATCTAGACCTACTAAATAATTTATGCCATGAGATGAATACATAATTTTACAGTGTCACATCTAAAGTTCCTTTCTTTAGAGTGCAGCATAGTAAAACTTAAAAATAAATATCTTAAATAGCATTACTATTAAGGCACAGTATAAACCACATTATCGTTAACCTTTGAAGAATTGTAATCTCAGTGACCTTGTTGTCTCGTGTACTGTGTTCACTAATAAATAGTTTTAAATATGACTCTGAAATAGATACTAAAAAGTGTAAAATTATTTTAAAAGGGGGGGGAAGAAAGAAACGTCCTTAAGACAGTTCTTAAGGGTTTAGAGTCTACAAACTTTGCCTGCCTTTAATTGTAAGCCACGAGTCAACACAATAAATAGAAAGAGAAGGCTGTTGTAGTAAAAGCCTGATCCTATTTCAGAATCAGAACTGCTGAGACCAGCAGATACAAGTTTCCCAAAATTGAAACAGGATGGGGAGAGGGATTAGAATGTGACAAGCTCATCAAACAAGCACAAGTGATGTGTTCTTTCCAGAACTGTGTGTGTTATTGATTGTCTGTACAGCTGCTGCACCCATTAATTCCACATCACTTGCCCCACAGTCCCGCTCATCCACAGGAGAGATGAGAAAATCGCTTTGGTGCCTGTCCACCATTTTACCCACTGCCACGCTCCCAGGTTGATTGTTCGATGCCCATGTTTTGAGAGAGTAAGAACGTGATCTTCTTACCTGAAAAGTTCTAGAGGCCATAGTGACTGCTAAAAATGACAATCAGTGCTTTCACCATTTTGTGTGTGTGTGTGTGTGTGTGTGTGTGTTTTGAAATCTGCTTTTAAAGGTAATTCAAGCTACATATTGCTCACTCTGTATTCCCTGGTTCGACTAGATTCAAATAGCATCTCCTAACTTGTAAAAGGCAGTTTGCTTCCCTGATACTATAAAAAGAGCAAAAATAAAAATCCCGTTATAAAAGTGAAGTTCCACCGTTTACTCCCACTTTCCTTGACTCAGGCTCTCTTTGGGATCGATTTCCAAAACTGCGCCCACTCCCCTCTCTCTCTCTCTCTCTCATCTACGACACTACTGGAGTATAAAAAAAAAAAAAATAAGAATTCTGCTTCACGAGAGCATAGCTTTGCTTTTTTTTTTTTTTTTTTTTTTGCTGTTTTTTGTTTTTTTCCCCTCCGGAAAGCTGTTAAGTCGATGTTAACTCGCCTTACCTACTACTCGTCGGGCAATGGGGGAGGGGAGGGGGGGGAAACGAGTCGACTCTGGTCACGTGGCCGCTCTACTGCATGCGGTCGGTCTGCAGCTGCTGCGGCTGGTACTGGCCGAAGGCGGCGGCGGCGGCGGCCGCGGCGGCCGCGGCGGCGGCCGTCCCAGGGGCGGCGGCGGCGATTGGCTGCTGCACGGCGTAGCCGTAGCCCCCCGCCGTGACGTAGCCGGCGGCGGCCGGCGAGGCCGCGTACGGGTACTGGTCGTAGGCTGCGGCGGCGGCGGCGGCGGCGGCGGCCGCCGAGTACTGGGCGTAGGCGGCGCCCGTGTAGTCGATGTAAGGGGTGGTGGAGGCGGCGGCGGCCGTGGGCTGCACGTGCGGGATGACCACGCCGGGCTGCACGAACGCCTGCGGGTACACGTAGTGGGCGGGGATCCTGCGGACAAACGGAACACCGAGTCAGGCGCCGCTGGCCCCCCCTGTCTGCAGCGCGGCTCGTTCAGAGATAAGACAGACTCAAATTTAGTGGTTATTACGAGCATAGGGTTGCCACAATATCTCCTCGCCAGGGGTCCGTCGGAGTGCTCTAGGCGGTAGCCGGATCACGGAGCGCCCCGAAAGGAATTCAGCGACAAAAGCAGTGGGGGGGGGGGGGGGGGGGGGGGGGGGGATGCCCCTCCCTGCTGGAAGTTGGATTTAGGATCGGTTAAGAGAACCAAAGCTTATCGTTCAGCAGAAGTTTGGCAAGTAAATCAAGGTTCATGAGGGCTACGCACCGGAGAGGTAGTGAATACGTGCTTAATTGATTTTAAGACTTCGGAAAATTTTGCAATGAGTTCGTAAAACTGTGTAGCAAAGAGAAAAAAATTCTCAGCGGTGACTATAATAGGACTCCAAAGGTAATCCGTGATCGTTCAATTTCGGGGGGGGGGAGGGGAGGAGGGGGTTGGCCGATTTCCCAAAAGTAAAATCAATTTTTCCACAAAATCCGTATGTTTATTATCATGGCAACCCTACTTGAAATTGCTATGCAGACTCAGCACACATTAATCTCTCTGCAACCTCAGTCACCCTTATTAAAAATAATGATGATACAAGAAGCAGGCGACAAAATAAAAAAAGGAGTTTAAAAGTGTGGTAAACACAGCAGAATCACACTTCTCAAACGAACTGTAGTGCAGCTCAGTTTATCACAAGAGGCTGTTGTGGGAAGCTACAGAAATGCTATCAACATTCATGGCAGTGATTCCCAAAGAGATGTGCAGCACGCTTTTTGCCTTTCTTTCTTTCTTTCTCTCCATAAAATTCATAAGGACACAAGGGTCAACCAAACCTGTTTGACTATCAGGCACCTGAAGTTCAGCCAGCTTGTTTATCTCTATGCAAGACAGACAGAAGGGGTTTTGGGGAAATGATGAGGTTGAGGGAAAAGGAAGGAATAGGAATATTTCTAAAAATTCATATAAACTTAAAAGGTTTACATAACAAAACGAGTAAGGAAACATTTTTTTTTTTTTGCGCAAATAGGAACTCTTGTTTTATCCTCCAAATCAACAAATAGATTAGCATGTTGGTGTTAAATCTGCCCTACTCATAAATATTTAATACATATCAATTGTGTTACGTATTATCCTGTAAAAGTTCAAGAAACAAGATCAAATACCTTTAACAATTATACGTTCAGAGATCACATACAAGACACACTCCAATGACCTTTACTTAGGAAGTTAATTCCGTTAAAAAAATAAATCACAAGAGGTATTTTTAAGAAAACCCGTGCATTTCAATTCTCACACTCTTGCGATTCATTACTGCCCCTTTAAAATGCTACCATGAATATTTGACTTATTTTCACCTTTCTTGAAAGCAATCTCCATCAGAACCCCCTATATTTCTAAAAATATGACACTATAATGCCATCTGGTTGTTGGCAAAGCCAATGTAACAGGAAGTACAAGCAACAAGTAGCAATCCTTTAAAGTATTTTAAAGAACTCAAGACTGAAAACTTCACATTTAGATTTCCAAAAACACAGATTTTTGCTTTGCCTTTTCAGAGTTTCACTGAAAGTCCTTATTAACAAACACCCATGGAAAAGATGAATTTATCATAGAGGGTAGTGAACTTTGACCCCAATGATAAAAATACACTCGATTTTACTAGACTTGTAGATCTTTCCAGTGCCAGGAGAAAACACGTCATCCAAGTGTTTCTGAGGACACTTAGAGATGTTCTTAATTGTTTGTCAGAAACCAGACGCATGGTCATGCACATACTCCAAACTTTTCTCTAGGTCAGGTGACTGACTCACTCACAGCAACAGGTGTGGCTTTATGAAACCCGGTCCCTGGAGGCCGCCGTGTCCACAATGTGCGGACATGGCAAAAAGAGCCTCCACTCAAGCCGTTTACATGTGGTGATGGACAGCAGGGGCTGCAGCCGGGCTATTTTTGATCCTGTCATGCGACAAGGGTTTCCAGCGGGTAAAATGTCTTTATAAGGCCAAAGTAAAACATCTATCAGCAGTGAAGTCCAGCCAGTATGAATCTCACTGATAGGGAAACATTAACCCCTGTACTCCCAAAGCTCCAAGGACAACAGGATGGTTACCAGGTTTGTATCTTTGAATGAATGCTGGTAACTGAAAATAAGTTTAGCCTATAAAAAGGCAGAATGAAGTGTGTGTGTGTGTGTGTGTGTGTGTGTGTGTGTGAAAAGAATGCACTAGAAGATAGGCAGGGCTGCTTACAGGACTCTTGTCTCTGCACTGATTTTATATTAATAGTTTTCATTTGATAATGCCAACCAATGAGAGTGTAGAGTTCCCTGGCATATCAGAACCCTACATAAAGTCTGGCAAGGGTCAGGAATACGTCTGGAAGGCACATGAAATCCTAGCAGTGTTAGAGGCTCAGGGAAAGGAGAACCCAGAAGACCAGGGAGAGCCTAAAATACCTCCATTCAGGAAGGCAGGCAGGAAAGGACCAAAGGCTAAGGTGGTGCTTTGGAAGTCATTCTTGCATTAGGAGGTCTTTTACTAGTTTAAGGAGCCCATGAAGGCAATCTGAGAATCTGTCTCCCCTATCTACCAGTGTCCCTTCCCTCAGTTAATCACACAGTGGGCATACCCAGTGGTTACAAAAGCAGAGGAACAAGGCAGATACCCTGGGCAACTGTCGAAGAACACTGACTACATTTTCCTTCTCTTTTGCAGGTCCTCTGACATCTCTTTGTGACTTTTGACACCCTAACTGGTTTCCTCTTCCAGTCTATCACCAGACTGCTGGCAAAGTCTTCATTTCATTTGCTTGTTCTTATAACCTATGGCCCCTTTGGCATGCTATGCCTTTTATGCTTCTGGCTCCAAAACACTCCTTCCAGTATTTCTTTCCACCTTTCCTCGAACCCGGGTCAGCTGGACTCCTCAGTGCTCCCTGGACAAGCCACACATTTCTAGATTCTCACTTTGCTCGTGCCATCCCTTTGCCAGGGAAGCCAAACCTCATTCCATCTCTACCTGCTGAAATCCAATTCTTTTCCACCCTAGGTCTAGCACTCACTCTGTAGAGAGCCTTCAGGAATTTGTCTCACCTTCTGGTCTCACATTTCTCATATGTGACCATGAATCCAATATTTCCAACCCTGAATTGCTGTGCATTAAATAACATTATCTACGCACAGAGCCTACAATGATGAATAAAGTAGGCACTCAATACAAGAGTACCTTATCCTCGACCATCCTTTAAAGATCTAGGTCAGCTTCTACCTCTTTCATGAAGACTTCTTGGGTCCCAAGAACCTGATGTCTCCCTCCTTGTCTGAAGCCACACCCTTCTGGGGGCTTCTCAGTTTTCTTACTAGATTACCAGGGAGAATGGAATTGTGTCTTTCTGGCTATAATGTTCTTGTTAAAAGAACACGGCTTTGGAGGTCAGGAAAATCATGATTATGAACCTAGAACCAGACTCTATTACTTACTAGCCCTGTGGCAAGTTAATTAAGCTCTCTGTATCTGTTTTTTCACCCATGGAAAGAACATTCACAGGCTGACATGAACAGCTTGAGTCAAATAAGTATTGTGAGAATTACATGATTTATGTAAATTTCTTACTAGTACCAGGCATGTAGGAGATGGTCACTTAATGTTACTGCCCCTCCTGCCCCCGCCCCCCTTAGTGGATAGTATAGTATCTAGTACAGTGTTAATACAACTAGTGTAAGACTGAGCACTTAAGGGGCGCCTGGGTGGCTCCGTTGTTTAGGCTTCTGCCTTCAGCTCAGGTCGTGATCTCCGGGTCCTGGGATAGAGCCCCGCATCCGGCTCCACACTCAGTGGGGAGTCTGCTTCTCCCTCCTCTTCTTCCCCTCCCCACCCCTCGCGCTCTCTCTCTCTCTCTCTGTCTGTCTCAGATAAATAAAATCTTCAAACCCTCCCCCCCAAAACCCTGAGCACTTAAGGATATACTCAATAAATGTTTAAGGGTATTTCAAACTGCTCTAAACCAACCTAGAATTTTCTACTCACAGATGCATAGTCTTTCCTCTCTAAGGTTTCAATAAGAAAATGCTTCTTGCAACCAGAAAGTATTTCTAAGACATTGTTTAGCAAATGGACGAGAATCTATACATCTGCCCATTGTGTTACATCAGAAATTCCTTCAAGCCAAGATTTTCTCTGGAAAAGCCCGTTAAATGGCCCCTAAGGACCACATAAAAAAATAGTTCAGTTACTAGAACTTCAAACAAGTCAAGTAAGATTAAAAATTCTCAAGCTTTTTTCCAGGCCTAAAATAAAAACGTGTGGCATTCCAACTGAATTGAGGATGACCAGGTGTGATTTATTAGGTACAGACTCTGGGAATTAGAGCAGTGTTAAAGAACCCCTTCAAAAAAGAAAAGAGAAAGCCTGCAATGTATTTCTAATAAGAATCTCAAGTTCAAACAACTTATGCAAACAGTAATAATCACCATCCTTTATAAAGACAGCTTAATATTAGCAGGGATGAACAACAAAAGGTTACTATCAAAGCATACTTGATTTAAAATTTCCATAGGACATTTTATTCTGGTTATTCTTATTTTCCGTGTGCTACTTTCTTTCTCAAGGATCAATGCAGACTACCACAGCCAGTCCCAATTTCTATGTCCAGCTCTCAGTATCCTCCATAAACAGTCTGGTTTCTCCATGCACTAAATCTTTTTCTCTTCTCTGCCTTTGCTTCTGCTCACCTCATCCTATAGCTCTCAGGCATGTCCCTTGCTCCTGTTACCTGTCCAGGACATACCCACTGGTCCAAGACTAGTTCAAGTCCCATGAAGCCTTGTGCAACCTCTCCAATTCACCTGTTTTCTTGCTATTCTGAATACCTTTTGTCCTAAATAGCAAGTATCTTAGCAATTAATAGTTCTTGATTGGTTTGTGTTAGTTTTGCAGTCTCCTTAGTTTGTATCACCTACTTAGCACAGAAAAACATAAACACATGCTAATACCTGTTGATCGATTTAGCCGCATAACTGTTTCAAGACTATTACTGTGAGATCATGATTAAGTTTATCACCACTTCTTAGGATGTATGTTCTCCTCCCTAATCCCACCCTACACGTAGTCTAGACCAATGAGGAGAGGACCCACAGAAGTAGCTGGACCCATCAACCCACTCTTTGTTGTCGGTACCCAGGACGGTTGGGATGGGGCACTGATAAACAGCTATGGAGATATGAAGGCCCTTTCTAATCATATTGGACAGGCTACTCTCCCACGGTTTAAAAAAGTAAGAGTTGGCGGTAAGGTGAAGAATCCCTATGTTAAAGGGAGGGTTTTAAGAAGGTATTCATGGAAAACAACCTGGCCCTACCAAGTGCAATGATTATTACTTTTTCTGGTCTATCCTTGGAGACACACAAGGCTGGTATCTATCTATCTATCTATCATCTATCTAGAATCTGACCTTCAAGGTTACACAGGTAGATATTTAGGTGCTAAACTAGAGAAGAAATGATAGCTGAGGATAAAACACTTCTTGAACAATTAGACTATTTAAAACGGAAGCTGAAATCTCTGTCACTAGAGTTCTAGCAATGTCAATCAGGTAGAATACAGCCCAAACAGACTCTAAGTAGTCCGAGTAAATTTAGGTGGTAGGGATCGCCCACTTACGGTGTCTGAACAGAAGGGAAAGAAGGGCACTCAGAGGAGGAAAGCTGGTAATCACAGAGCCCAAAGGGAACACAAAGATGAGCAGCCTGTTCACCTGAGTTAGGTCTGAAAGGTGAAAGTTAGTGCCACTCGACTCAAAAAACTGGCTAGTGTCAGTGAAATCTGATGAGTGTTTGTTGAACCTTTAAATGAGAAGGCCTAAAAGTGGATACACATTGCAAAAGAAAGAACCCCATTCCCAGAAAACTCCCCGGTAAAACAGAAACTTAGGACATGCAAGCAATGAATCTGTATTCTCACAGAAGGAAATCACACAATTTAGCACTCACTACAAAAATATGGTTAAGTGGGAGTCACAGGCTACAGCTTAAAAGCAAGAAAAAAAAAAAAAGGCCCTTTGCTTCCCATGGCAAAGTCAAAAGTCAACACTCCTCAACACCACCACCAAAACCAAAAACACAAAGAGCCCCTTCCCCGAGGAAAAGAAAACACTTTCACTACAGCTCTTTTCAATTAAGTAAAAAGCACACAGTTTAGCTATCAACACCACTTCATTACTGTAATAAATAAAATAAAGCACACGGAGGTCTATTGACTATTGTGAAAAATAAAACAACACCAACATCCATGCATCGTTAATCACCATCTGAGCTTGTGTGTCTGAGTCTACTGGTTACAGAGTTTAATTCCAAACAGAACTATTCCACCTCTTATCACCGTATCCTTCTGATCAGTTAGCTTAACTGTATACGAGCCCTGTCAGGTTAGAAAGAGATAAATAACATTGAGTCAAGTTGAACAGTAATCATGGTGCTGGGACACAATCGTCTCGTACACAAGTCATACCTGGTAGTTTGTTTTGTTTTGTTTTGTTAATCATAAGCTCAAAATTTGTCTGGTTTGGAGGCTGCAAACTTGGTCAGTAACTTGACTCATCTAAAAATATTTATATTATCAGCATCAAAAAGGTACAAACATATATAAATATGTATCACAAGGAACATTCTGTGACATGATGATCTTGTCTGTATATAACAGAGGCAGGTTAACAGATGATACTTATCAAAACTTAGGAGGGCCTGATGAACTGACTTACCCAAACGGTCTTTGTATGAGGGCTGGATGAAGTTGTTGAACACCAAAGGCAAAACCTAACAATAAAACATACCACATTCTCTATTTGTGCATGGTTAGGCATTTATGACTCCTACATATTAAAATCCAATCACAACGTTCACTTGGAGAAGATCACCATTCTTTGGATGCTTTACAGAAAATATTATAAATATTATATATATTACAAATATATATATTTGAAAATTCTTTTTACTGATGTTATCATTATAGATACATATTATAAATATATACACATACATATTTAAAAGTTCTTTTTACTAATGTTATCATGGACCCAGGTAAAAATTTTAATAGGCTACAGGTGGAAACTAAAAATTATCTGCGAAGTTTGACAGTCATACAAGAAGACCTTAAAAAATTAGGCCAGGGAAAAATTCTTGTGGAATGAAACCAGGAACAACAGGACTTGATAATGAAGTTACATGTCACAAATATTCCTGCAATTCTGAATCATGATCTATAAAAAGTCTTTGTAATTTGGAACATGCTGGACAATGCTTTGGAAGATTATGGGTTTTACAGATTATGGTATTTAAAATTCACAAAAACAAACTCTCCTTTTCTGGATAGCACACACACAAACACAAGTTTTTTTTAATGTTCACGGATATGGGCACATGCACTCACTTTCTTGACAATCTAGTTCCCTAGTAAATCCATTTGGAGGGAAGAGTCAACCTCTTTCCAAAATTTCAGATGGAAACACTTGAGTGAAGAGTATAATAACTTAACAAAACAGAGTTGCTTACCCAAGAAAAAGATACCATTTGCTCAACAGTCAACTCTTAATTATTTGTGCTCATGGCAGAGGCAGTGTTGTAAATAATCCAAAAGGTCAAATTTTCACATAGACAAAAGCCTGCTTCCCTTTTGATGCCTAATAGCTTCATGACTTTGGAGTAAAACATTTTCCATCTCTAGGGGTCAGTTTATCTGTTACACGAGGGCCCGGGCGTACCTGAAATCTCCCCATTTTCTTTGATTACTAATAGTCTGTGATTTTATGTTAAAGCTTTACCATCCAGACACCACCCCCTGCCCCTAGGCTTCTCTTGGGTCAGTGTTCAAGTTGGATTGCCCGCTCTGAGCACAGGGCCACTGGTGGTAGAAGGAGAGACAACAGTATGTAGGGAAGTATAACCAGCTGGAGGGGACACATTTGGCCCACAAAATCCACATGTGAATGACCTACAAGTGGCGAGAAACTGGAAAATAGAAGAGCAGACTGACTGTATGTCATACCTGAAACAGATGAGTCAAGCCTAAGTCTGGGTGGGTACAAACTGTCCAGACCCCCAAGATCTACTTTTGCACATAGGTACATTTCAAGTCCTGCAAGAGCCGGTGACAACGCTCATTTAATATCCTGATAGAATAACCAGCCGTGGTTCAACTTCACTAAACATCTACAATGTCTTCTGAAACAGGGATCCATTCTATTCAGAAGTTGGGGGGGGTCCTCAAGATGGGGGGTGGAGTGGGTAGGAGGAACATTTCTCACCTGGTTGCATGATCCTTGGTTTTGCTCCCAAGTATGCCAGATTCACATTGGCCTTCCTGCCATCAATGATGGGGTTCGGATCCTTGCAGGCTCTCTCAGCAGCGGCTCGGTCAGCCATGGTGACCTTAGCAACATACACACACAGACATACATACAAAGCTCTAAATCAACCCCTGAAGGAAACCAAGAATCACACTGGAGAAGTCATTCATGAGAAAACTGAGGGGGTTCTTAAACTTTCTTTTTTCTTTTTTTCTTTTCTTTCTTCTTTCTTTCTCTCTCCCTCTCTCTCCTTCCTTTTCCTTTCCTTTTCCTTTTCCTGGAACTTACTCCTTGATCCCCCGTCAAAAAAGAAAACAAGAAAGAAAAAACAGGAAGAAAGAAACAACCCCCTCCCCACACCCCCAAAGTCTTCAGGGCGCTAGTAGGGCCTAGCAGGGAGTCGGAAGCCTGAATTCCGTCTTGGTACTCTAGATCCTCCCTCCCCCGACCGCCCCCCCAGGTCCCTACCCAACCTAAGAGGCGCTGTTTGCTTTAAAGAAAGTCCAGCCTCACATCCGCCCGGTGCCCCCAACCACCAGCAAGCACTCCCTAACGACCGTAGCTATTGTCCTACTCTGGAACTGCCGGCTCTCCAGCCGCTGAATTTGCACGCTTAAATCCCCAGGAGGCTTAATATGCTCTCCTTCAGTTCAGCAAAGAGCTAGAGGATCATCTTTTTAAAGAATCCATCTTTGCAATTTAAAAAAAAAGGGGGGGTGGCATAAGGAGTAGAGCCCTAGACCTCCTAGGGTGTCCCCTCCCCGCCCCAGCCAGAACGCCTGAAGACACGCATTTTTACAAAGCAACAGCGCGCTTAACCACCGGCTTCCAACGCCGGCGTGCGATTCCGAGGGGCTGCGGCCCCTCCCTCCCAGGCCCGCGCACCCGCAAATCCAGGCAGTGGTTAGTTCTCTCCTTCCACCCCCGCTCCGCCTGTTCCCCCGACACCGCAGGGCGCTGGGTCCCCTCGAAACCCCGCGAGGCAGCACAGCCCTCCCTCCCCCAGCTCCGCCGCGCGCAAACTTTCAGTTCAGCCGGGAGCAAAGGGGCAGCGCCGCCCGCGTCCGCGGGGTTCCTCACATTGTCACACCGAGCCCCCCACGGCAAACCCCGCCCCCCCCCGAAGCCCTGCGCCGCCCCGTGCCTCCCCGCCCCCGCGGTCCTCGATTTCCCCTCCGGGCCCTTTGTCACCCCCACCCCACCCTCCCCAACCCCAAGCCCACGCCAGCCCGCAGCCGCGCAACTTACAAATCCGTAGCCCCGGGACTTGCCCGTCTGCCGGTCGGTGATGACCACCGCCTCCTCGATCTCGCCGAACACCTCGAAGTACTTGCGCAGGCTGGCGTCGGTGGTGTGGTAGGGCAGCCCCCCGACGAAGATCTTGGTGTACGTCGTGTCCTTCTGGGTCGTGTGCATCTTCGCGCCCGCCCCGCGGCTCGGGCTCCGGCTGCGGCTGCGGCTGCGGCTCGGGCAGCGGCTGCGCCGCCTCCTCCGGCTCCGCGTCTCCCGCACCCTCTCGCGGCCGCCGGGGGCCAAGGGCGAGCCCGGGGGCGAGGGCGGCGGCGCGGCGGGGGCGAGAGGCCGGGGGCGGCCGAGGGCGCGGGGCGCGCGGCTTCCGAAGTCGCCAGCAGCCCCGGAGACTTGACTTCGCTCTCTCCTCCCGCCCCCCCTGCCGGTCACCGTACAAATTCTCCGGATCGTCTGGGTTAGGATCCTGTTCTATAGAATGTGCAAGTGGTTTCCACTCACCAAGCTGGGAGGCCAAAAATGAAAAAGAGGGTGGTCCTCGAGCGAAGGAGCGGGCGCGTTTAGAGGTAGATTTTTTTTTTCTTTCTTGGAAATTAGGTAGGTGTCTTGGGTGGGGCGTGGGTAGGGTCGGCGGTGAGCGCGTCCGGGCGCGGAGGTGAGAGGGCGGGCGGGCGGGGGGCGCGGCGGCGGGGCCGGGGGTGGGGGAACTCCGCGCCGCTCGGGCTCCGGTTCTGTCCCTCCCGCCGCGGAAGCTGGAAGACAAGTGACGAGGACGGCTCTCCACCTCTCTGCTCCCTTCCCCCGCGGGCCGGGGGTCGGCGCCCGGCTGGGGAGGGGGCGGGCCGGACGCCTGCGATTGGCCGCGGCCGCACCTGGGGTGCCCGGCGCCGCCGCCCCCCAGCTGTTGGGAACAGCTGCTTCTCTCCCCGCGCGGCGCTGGGCCGCGGGGCTCGGGCTTTGGAGCCGGGGCTGGGGTAGGGCTGGGGATGGCCCGAGGCGGCCTTGCTCTCGGCGGTCGCCTGCTCTAACCCGTCAAAGTCCTAGGGACTCGGCGCGGTCCTAGCCGGGGCTCGGGGAGCACAGACTGCGACCGAGGAGGGAGCTGCGTCGCTTTCCCAAAACGACGACGCGAGCTCTTTGCGCTCGGCCGCGGTGACAGGGCCGGCGACCTGGACTGACGAGCTGGGGGCCGGGAGGCCTGGGGCGGTTCGTGGAAAGGCCAGTTCCCTCCCGGGCTCGCAGGAGCCGGCAAGCTCGGCCAGCGGTACCCGAGTCTGATAGTCTGGGGTCTGGAGAGTGAGAAGGAGGGTCCCCAACCTTCCTTGACCCTCAAAGAGCCAGTGCTGGGGAGAACCAGCGAGGCAGAGCCAGAAGGGAAGAACGGGGGAGAGGGGGGGCGGAAAGCAAAAAACAAAACGCAACAACAAAAAACAGGTCTAGTGCTTGGGTGTGCTGGAGAAAACCATTAGCTTTAATCGCTCACGGTCCCAGCCAAGCTAAGGAACCGTAGACACCACCTTCTATTTCAGAGGACCATAAATTAGTACTTTAGCTCCTACAGTTATCAAATTTGTGTTTCCTCCCTAACTATTTGGGGAGATTGGTACAGATTTCTCATTATAAATCCTCTTTTTTCTTTTTCCCCCGAAGCAAAGAATTAATCTATTTCCTTCCATTTGAATTGCAGGAATGTTTAGTAACTTGACCTCAACTGCTTCACTAGGATGCACTGTAACTGTAAAAGGTGTAAGTTTTTAAAATCGACTTGTTACATAACCACTGGTTTCTACCAGCAAACCTTTAAAGCATTTCTAGAAAATACAGACTTTAGTGCAACCCTTATATATTTATTTTTTAATATCAGCTTTTTGCACCTTCTTTTTATCAAGAGTACATTCAATTAAGCATAAAATCCTTGTCATATTTGAGGTTTGGATGAAGGTATTTAATGTGAGCAGAATGTTCCACCCACCCCTGTAGGAGGAGCATGATTTGCTTTTAAGTCATTTCCATCAGGAGTGTCTGTTGAAGTCCATACATTAATTGCCCCTGGGCTGAACCATTTAAAGCAGGTCAGTATGTTAACCTATTAGAGAAGCACATACTTGTGTTTCTCTTTCCAGGGCACATTTGCAGTTAGCCCAGAAGGATGAGATACATTGCATTTGCCAAAGCGAACAAACGGGAATGCATATATCCTCGAGCTTTTCACCTTGTTGCCTTCTGCCTGTAGTTGGCCTTTTGAGGTCATGAATTTCTTTAAGTTTGAACCCCCAGCGGGTGATGTGGAGAAATAAGACATCCAAAGGTTTTTGGAAAAATGTTTTAAAAACCCAATTCAAGGGGCACCTGGGTGGCTCAGTCGTTAAGCGTCTGCCTTCGGCTCGGGTCATGATCCCAGGGTCCTGGGTTTGAGCCCCACATCGGGCTCCCTGCTCAGCAGGAAGCCTGCTTCTCCCTCTCCCACTCCCCCTGCTTGTGTTCCCTCTCTTGCTCTGTCTCTCTCTGTCAAATAAATAAATAAAATCTTAGAAAAAAAAATCCAACTGAAGAAAAACAAGGTACTTTACAGCCATATGAGAGCCAGAAAGGGAAATTGTAAATAGCACTCTCTCCTCATTGCTTAAGCAAAAGTACAAGTTTAAAAGAGACTCTGTGTACTGGTATGATGAAAGGTAGTTTTTAAAACTTAGAAAAACAAAGCAGCCTATGAAACAAAGGAGGCATGTTTTTTAATATTCAACATCCATCTTGCTGGGTCACTGAAGAACTACTGTACTTAGATGAGGCTCAGGCAAAAACTCTTTTGTGAGGGAGAAGCTATTCCAGAGGAAGCCTGAAGGACAAGAGTCTTGCCTCTCTTCCTACCTCTCTCTTGCCTCTCTTCCTACCCGGATGAGGAGCCCACCCCGGAGGGGACTGTGATAATATCAGGGACGGAGGGTGTCTGGGAATGTGGCCAGCAGCTTGGATGTTCACTAAGTAAAGTGGTGAGATCTACAAGGAAATTCTGATCCGAGGTTGGGTTAGCTGTGTCCTAGAACTCGGCTTCTGGAAACGAGATGCCTCCCTGCCATAGTCCCAGAGAAAATAATGCAGCCACCCTCCCTGAGTCCCATGCAGCCCCTGACTGGTGTGCTTTTATTCTTTCAATTGAGCGGTAAATATTTGATAGCTTGGTTTGAAACTTTGTTCATTCCATATGAAATGATGCTTGAATATTTCCGATTTTGAATTCCACAGATAAATTAAAACATTAGTAATCATCTGGTGTTATGTGATTGACGGAGAACAAAGGTTAAGAGGAAAAGAGATTCCTTATTTCCCCTGCTGATTTAAATAGAAGCCTTAATTCCTACCCAGTTCAGCCTGAGAAACCGCGGAGCGCCCCCGACAGGCGGGCACTGGGCTAGAGCGACGCAATATTGACACTGGGTTTTGTTTTCTATCTGCACAAAGGTGGGTTCAGTTACAAGGGCCAGAACCATTCCTGGTGGTTTTGTGAACCTGAGCCATCGGACCATGTAGCCTTGGGGCCGTAAAATCTTCCTGAATTCAAACTTTCAAGGTTATTAAGTACCAAATATTTCTGCATAATTACCCACTACAAAGTCAAGTTTGAAAAACAATGCTTGAGTAATCCTTTTGCTTTCTCAGCTGCTTTTGGCAGCGAAGAACACTTGTATATTCACAGACCTTGTGCAATATGATGTGTACTTCTTTGGAAAGAAAGAGCCATAAAATACTTTAAAAGTTATAAATAGGTTCCAAGCTTGTCATATCCAAATTAGTACATATGGATGGCCCTGAATCCTCGGTTCCTACACCATGGAAAGATCGATAATATTTTATTACTTACAGTAAATTTTTGTCCACTCTGTTCAAACTCTTTATTTGGCTATTAAGGGAGAGAACCAAATGGACAGGTTTTCCATTCTTTTATCTATTTTGTCCCCCATCCCCTTAAATTGATCATGGAGATCAACTCCAGGGCCAAGGCTTATGAAGAATTGTGAGAAAAGAGGGGACTATTTCACAAAGGTAGAGAAGCACTCCTCCAGCTCATGGAGCTGTCTGCTCCAGGGACAGCGTTGCTTTGGATAGTAAGTCACCTGCGGGCAGGGTTGGCCCCTTGGATGTCACTGTATTTCCTGCAGGTCAGTGAGATCCTCCACAGAGTTCTACACATATATACACACAGAAGAAATATTTACTGAAGAGAATTGGTATGTTAAAGCTATCTACCTGCAAGCTTGAGGGGGAAAAATACATTCTTTCACTTTTTAAGATATTATTTATTTGAGAGAGAGCGGGTGCACGTGGGCACAAGCAGGTGTGAAGGGGCAGAGGGAGAGGCAGACTCCTCGCTGAGCAGGGAGCCCGATGTGGGACTCGATCCCAGGACCCTGAGATCATGACCTGAGCCAAAGGCAGACGCTTAACTGACTGAGCCACCCAAGCATCCCCAAAACACATTCTGGATTAGAACTGACCACGTGCAAAGTAGTTAGGCCAGATTACTCTGTGTTTTGTTTCGTTTTGTTTTGTTGTTTTGGAAAAACAAAAATATGGCTTCAATGAGATTTTTTGTTTTAGTTGGTTGGAAACGTTTATCTTCTTCTGAGAGTCTGTGTGAGCATTCTGACGTAAAACCAACAGGTTTCCTGCCCTTTTGAGAAGTCCCACGATCAGCTGTATTTCTGTTTCTCTGGGTGGGTTGGTAATTTTCTCTTAGTAACAGATAACAAATGTGGTAATAGGTTATGCTGCTATTTTAGTGTGCAGAAGAATTGGCAGTCAGAAACCTAGTCAGTTCAGCTCACATCCACCTCTGGGCAAATTCTATTCATGCTGCATTAAGCCACATCTAAGCTGGTAAGTAAAGTGAAATGGAAATTTGTAACTGTTATCCACTCATTAAAGTCATAATGCTCCCTTTACATCAACATCCAGAAAATAGAAAGCAGAATAGAGTTCCTTGGAGAACAAGGGAAGGGCAAAAATCAAAGTAAGGGGGACAGAAAGAGCTCACTGCCAACTTCGCCCGACCAACAGTGGCCCTCTGCCCCCCAAAGTGGCATTAAGTGTAGGCACTCTTTAAAATCCTATTATAGAAGTCTGAAAGGCAAGGCAGAGAATGCAAACATTTTAAACCCGCTCGGTGCTTC